GAGCTTGTACTGGCATATGATTCGATTGGCTGACGCTTCCGTCGAAGCTTCAAAAGTAGAACATTGCTCTACTTTTGAAACGAGCTACGCGAGCAAAGCTACCCTTTGCTCCCACAATGCAGTTCGGCGAAGCGTGACGTCAGCCCATTCAAAGTGAATGGGCAGAAGCGTTGAAGCGTCTGACATATTGAAATCCAACATATTTAAGAAAAAAACTTGGTATAAGCGTTATTCTTATACCATGTGCATAGTCCCTTAATCATGTTCTGGGGCCTCATTTATAAAGGGATATACGCTCAAAAAATGGCGTACGCCAGTTTCTACGCAATGTTTGCGATTTATAAAATACTAACTTGACGTGAAAATGTGCGGTCCTCCACGCAAACTCTAACCCATGCGTACGCACTAAGCACAAAAACGCCGCACAGGCTGCAGTGGAGACGCTGCAGCTGATCGACAGCTGGGACACAATCCACCAAATACAAAAAAATAATTCAGATCCAGTCGTCATGACTCTACTCCGGAGGGATTCCCCGATCATTTCTTACAGTTTCTCATCAACGGGGTGTCTCCTGTCCCCAAACACACTGCCTGAGGAAGGCTATGTGTATTTATTTGGTCATTAACCTTTTTCGGACCACTTATTTATTTATTTTGGTGATGATCCGACCTCCATGCTTCTACTCTGGTTCAAACTGCATCCACCAAACAATGTGATTTATCTCGACCTCCCCAAAATAACCAAAATCTGACACGGTGTGAGATGCTTTTGTAGCTGTTCTGTCGTCATTTCCTGCGATCTTCTTCATAAAGTCAGTCAGAATTAATGAATGAATGGGCGTTTCTTTGACTATTTATAGGCAAATATGGGCATTACGTGAAGCCCGCAAAAGCGTAGAAAGTGCCGTACGCACTTTCCTCGCCGGTACGCAATGTTTTGTGAATCGGAAAATGTCGGAACATTTCTTTAACTATTTTTTGGATTTCTACTACGTAAGCAACCTTCCCACGTGAATCCTACGCACGGCATTATAAATGAGGCCCCAGGTCACTTTCCAAAGCTATTTAAAAAAGGAAATAAAAAAGGTAGATTCTAGCCAATTATGGTTTACTTGATTAGAGATTTCAACTGCCAAAAATATTCCCTTAAAAACAACCGAGTTAAGAAGTAAAAGCAGAACAGAAGCCCTGGAAACTGGTGGTTTACAGACAACATTACAGAGATTTGTATTTTTAGGTCTTGTTTAAAAATGTCAAGTCCTCACTGAATGGAAAAATGTTTTAAAAATGGGACCAAATGACAAATGAAATCTTCTGTTAAGGTATAAGGTTGTTAATGTATAATCTACACCCACTGTGCTCCATTTGACAGTGAGGGCCAAAGTTTCTCTCGACAGTGTCATGTTGGAAGATACTGCGTCTGATGCCAGAGCTACCAGACAGGTGAGACCTCTGCTCGGCCAAATCTCACAGGTTAATGAAACATTCTCCATAACAAAAAAGTGAAATGATAAGGAATGTAATGGCTACTGCATTATATGAGTGAACCATTACTATAGTTTTCTCTTCAAGTTGTGTAACAAATACTATTTAAGACTGCATTGTATTGCATGAAACGATTAACACAAATATGATGTGTAGCCCACTGGTTATAAAGAGTTATCTTTGCCTCAACTTGTCTTGCAATAGCTGTGATGTTCATAACTCTCTCAGTAGTAAGCTAGGCATAGTGCTGACGTTTTAAAGGGTGGTTATAAATAGCTCATAGAACATAGGGAACATTTTAATCATACACCTCATTCAGCTCAACTTTCATTCAAAGAACTATCATCTCAAAGATCAAAGTTTTTAAACAGACAAGGGGATTTCCCTTTAATCTTTGAGAGGAAATGTAAAGATCTGCTGACAAATTGTAGCTTTTCTGGTTAGGCTAAGAGCCGAGTAGTGTGTTTTAGTTCAATGATGACTCACAATGGAACAAATACAAAATAAAGATAGCTGCCGAGTTGTCTTTGATCTATAATGCTGACATGAACAGCATTTATTTAATGAACATTATTGTATTACAGCTATGATGTTTCAACATGTTCCATCGTGTAAAAATGCAAAAGCACTTTTCAGAATGTTTAAAAAATGTCTAAAAACAGGACAGAGGACAAACATCCATTTGACTAACTTGATTCTCAAGATATCTAGGAAAATATGATTTTCTTCTAGCGAAACGCATCGCTAACACAAACAAGTCAGCTGTAGGCCGACATGGTTGGAGGAATCTTATCCATGACACAGACTTCCTCACAACTGAAAGCATCCAGTTGTGCCTTACTGAAATCTAATAAGGCAAAAATGTTGGCCACTGCACATGATCAATCTCATAAGACTACTAATTTTGAAAAACAAGATAGATTGGTAAGCCTGACTGTCTGCCTTTTGGACATCTCATTTGAGAAAAGAGCAAATGCTTCTATCAAGGAGCCAGGAAATGCCAGGCACATGCTACAGCCAGGATCCTACAGATCATGACTTTCTAGAAACAAGCTAGAAAATAGTGAGATATTCTGGTGAGATTTAAGGGAATAAAAGCTTGACGGGAATTTCAAGGACACTGGCATAAAGTCCTCAGAATTAACATAGTTGATATATTATAAGGTATTCTGTATAAGAAAAAACACAGTAATTATACAGACATCACCAATGACAAAAAAAATCAATGCCGTTATCGAACAAATATCCCATTGCAAATACGCTATTCCTTAAGACAATCTCAAATTCAACTGCTACAACTTAAGCAGAGAAATTCCAACACAAGCTAAAAAAAAGGAACTATATGATCTGAGGTTACGACTAGAAAATCCATTCAATTGCAGGGAAAATAAAGAGGTGACACCGTCAGAGGAGAGCAGACGCATGACAGAGCGAGTCAGACAAACTCAGTATCCGCACTGACCTCCTTTCTTCCTAAACCTAGCTCCTTTTCGTCCTTATCAGCTGTTGTTATGTGCCACTTGAAATACTGACAAATGTTTGGGAGAAGAACCCCTTAACACCGTTTGTAATACACTGAATTAACAAAAACAGATAAAAAAAACAAGATCTGTAATGCATTCAAGTGCCTTTTTTTTTACTGGTAACTGAGCAGGTTGAATTTCTCTCAGGGGACAGTTTCAAGGAAAAACATTAACAAGGACGCAGGTGCAGATGTTGCCAGGCCAGCTACCATAGAGACCTGCATAAATGTGTTACAATACAGTGAACTTCACGTCCTGCTCCTGTTGCCATGAGAGTAGGACTATAAAAAGCAGAACTTAATCAGTTCCAATGATTATATTGAAAAGGAATACAATGACAAAAAGGAAGGAGGAAAGTGTACTTCTGCTACATAAAAGACAGCCAAAACTGCCGCATATGCCAACTTTAAGAGAAACAAAAAGAAAAGATGCACACACACGGCGGAAAATAATGTAATGTGTTGAGGGACAACTTTGCACGCATAGGAAGAGCAGAGGAAACATACACTAACAAAGAGGAACCATGGTCACAAGACAAGCAGCCAAACAAGTACTCCTTATCCTGAACTGACTCAGAAACTATTTTATGAAAAATACATGGATGGAAACACCTCTAAGCCAAATAAAAAACATTATGAGCTACTTCAGGGAAATGGTAAAGTATGTCTGTTACTATGGTCACCACTAGCTCACGCACAGAGACTAACACATCTGATTAAGTCTGATATTAAAAAGCACCTCATCATCAACCAGTAGAAGGTAACATCCGTCAATATCTCAAATATGCTGAGCCTTTCCTTGGTGCTTACAATATTCTTCACCTTGGGGTAAAGAAAAAAAGACGAAATACAGCATGCAGACATCAGGAAATTACATTTCTCCAGGGGGTTGAATAATGTTTCTGCTGAAGGGAAATGAGGTCGAGACTATGCCTTGTTTACCTGGCACCCCCTTGGGATGAACAAATAGACCTCTGTCACTCCTCTCTTTCCACAATAACTACAAGGTCATGGTATGAGCAAAGGAAGTACAGGAGAAGAGGGATTATGATCAAATTAACTGAATCCTACCAAAGCTCTATTTGTTGAAAATGTCTAATTTCTTGAACTACAGTGTATCATATGCAAGTAGACAAACCTGGAGGATGGTACGTGTGCCAAGGTATAACAGAGCAGATGGCTGCCTAGCAGGGTTGGAAATGTCCCAGTAGGTGTTGGAGAGGAAAGGACGCAGGAATGCTCCAATGCAGTCACAGCATATCTGTGAATCATGCACTCCCCTCATTTTTTATTTTTTTATTAAAAATGCTTGGCAGTCCCACACGTGTGCTTAGGCCTGTTTGACCTCCCTAACAAGCCTCACAGCCTTCCAACATTGACTGACGGGAATATGCTACTTTCAAACAACTTTATGCAATCATTGCTTTTTTCAAAAAAGTTCGAAATTCTAGACAGTTTGGCTTGACTTGAACAGGTATAACCAAGGTGGGGAGATTTAGAGAACATAATCTTTCAAATGGGTGTAACCTACTTGTAAAAGTTTAAGATCTTACATGTGTTATCATTATCAACTCTAAGAACAATCTTCAACCGAATACTTTTGATTGTATCAAAACTACGCCCAATTCACCATTTAGTGTATATAAAAGTAGGCCCAAAAAGTATTTACCTTAATGGAAATAACAACTTTCTCGTTTATTTCACTGAAGTAACCTAAACAAATGCTGTGTAATATTCTACTTCCGTGATATCCCTGGTTACCGTTGTCCTTCTATTGATACAACATATTTATTTTTCTTCAATAAGTCCAAACATTGTTACGGAAATGCATTCGTATTTGAATTTGAAGTGAACAGTAGCATATGTTCTCAGCGCACCAACTGTAACTGCGCAAAGTTAGCTAGTTGCTAACTTTCATATAAGACACAAGTTTACCGAAACCTTTTTCAGATGACAACATAGTTACTGAGAGATATTTTAGCAAATGCATTACCTGTCTCTGCATCCTCCATTGTACGGCTGGGAGTGGTTTCTGGTAGTTTTGGAGTCCAGAGTGAGCAGGTTCTTCACTTAACGGCTGCAGACCTTCCTGCTCTCTCTCTCATGTTGCCAGGCAGCTCGCCGTGAGGGGTGGGGTTCCGTGTGACGTCATCACGCAGCAGTGTAAACAGAGGCGAGCACGTGGATCAAGGTTTACACCATCAACAACGCAGAGCTGTATGACAGCGACACGTCATTATTTCTTTATATACATATGTATTTTACTGTATTACTCAAACTTAAACGTGCATACCTGTCATACCTCAGTTCAATGTTTTTATATATGGAATGGTTATGGTTTTGAAGTACATTTGATCATATGCACAACAATTACATTTAATACAGGCAATGGATATCTAGTATTTCAGGCTCCCTCCAACAACACAGTTAAGATGTGTACAAATTGAACATCATACAAAAATAAAAAGTACATCTAAGATAGTTATAAAGTGCAAGTTACAATAACGTGCTTACATATAAACATATATATATTTTGTATTATCTCTTCGATTTACACACGGCATCTATTGCACGTCTGTCCGTCCTGGGAGAGGGATCCCTCCTCTGTTGCTCTCCCTGAGGTTTCTCCCATTTCCCCCCCTTAAACTGTGGGTTTTCTCTGGAAGTTTTTCCTTGTACGATGTGAGGGTCTAAGGATAGAGGGTGTCGTTTTTCTCATACTGATATTCTGAACAATCTGTGCTGTTGTATTTGCTGTAAAGTGTCTCTACTGTAGGCTATTTTTATGATATGTACAGCACTTTGGCTCGACCAAAAATCGTTTAGAAATGTGCTATATAAATAAAACTTGATTTGATTTGATTTGATATATACATTATAAAATAACGTTTTTTTTTTGTGGTAGATACTTTTTCAAATAAATATGTATCTAGCTTTTATGCATTTAAATTCATTCATTTTGTTGAATTACTGTTATTGGATAACATTTTGTTAATAACATTTCAATGCTTGCAATCCAAATATATTAATAATTATGTATTGTTATGGCAATTGTCAATGACACTGGGTTGAAGTGAAACTTGTGGCTATGTCAATCTTAATGGAGACATTAACTTGAAGGCAATAACTTAAAGAGACTACACTGAACTGGAAAATTAAGTTTGTTCCTGCAATTGAGGCAAAATCAACGTGATTTAAAAAATAATAATATAATTGTAATTTAAGTATTACCGAGCTAAATACATTAGAGTTGCAGAAACGTATCACAAGGGTTACTTGTTTATTTTATTTAAGCATTTTTGTGCTTATCATGACAAGTTAAAAGCCAATACTTGTATGAGCTGGAGCACGAAATAAATATACTAATTGTACATGACATGCCTTATTGCACCCTTGGGAATTTAACCATTACAGTGGGCTGCCTGCAACCCCCACCCTTTGGTAATCAAAACCTGGGTTAAATCCAACTCTTGTTCACACACTGCGTGTAAAGCCCTTAATTGGACAGCATTGAAACTAGACACTCAACTATGTCAAGAATTACAAACACACACCCACCCCCACCCCCCCCCCCCCCTACACACACACACACACACACACACACACACACACACACACACACACACACACACACACACACACACACACACACACACACACACACACACACACACACAGAGAGAGAGAGGTGTCCACATGAAAGAGTGCCACCTGCAGGACCTGGTCCCGATGACAGGGAACAGAAACTTGAGATACAGGTTGATATGACAAAATGTACTCTAAGCTGTAATATCTAACTAGTCTCTTGAGGTTTCTACTACATCATGTACATGCTCACACACCACATGACTTCATTACAGTCACGTGTTTTCAATATATTATCATGTCTATTTATTCATTATTTAACAAATAAATATTGGTTTAATAAACATTTTTAATTATGATATCATAGTGACATACACTTAGTAGTATTCTTGACAATTGTATTACTAGATGTAATGGGACATTAATAAGCATGTGTATTTATAACTAATTATCACAATAAATTCGCACATATGCATGAACTACTTTATCGAAATGTATATTGATATATATTTAGTTGATGCTTTATCTTGTTTATGATTGCAGTCAAAAATCAACAAAGTAGAAAAAGACACACTGAAAGTTATTGTAGTATTCCCATAGGAGTAGTATAGGAATATCATGGTAACCCCGTTAAGCATAGGGGTAAGTGGGGCACACAAGTCAGCATTCATGGACTGAGTAGACAAGCAAAGTCAAAAGATTAAAAGCATGCGGGAAATGGGTGCAGCCTTTAAACACAAAGACCCCTTGCTGATCAACAGATCCCCATCTTCCTTTAAAAGCCGCCCCCTCCCTCTGCCAACCCCCCTTTCTCTGGTCGAGGTGCATTGTGGGGAGGAAAGTCGTTGCCATTCGACCTCTGCGGGGCCTGCGCGGACGCAGCGAGAACCCTGAAATTCATTATGCGTTTAAAACCTTTATTTATTTCCGCATAACCTACATACTCTCACCGGGAGGGCCAAAGCGGGGAAAAGAAACGACGACGGTCCATCTCATTCGGAAAATACATCGTTTACAACTATATATTTTGCGTAAGGGGGATACTGTTGAGAAGGGGAAGATTGTAATATATATTAAGAAAAATGTCCGGTGAGAGAAACCGCAGGTCGCTGGCTTTCCGAGGAGGTGGATTAGCTGGGTTAACGGCGTCCAGCGGTATCGGTGGGGGGAACTGTAACAGCTGGGAGGCCCCGACCTGTCAAGACCGACATTTTAACGGGAACAGGCCGGATCAAGAGGAGGACAGGGATCTCGGGGCTAAAGGATCATCGCAGAAGAGAGTGGAGGGCGCTGGGTCTGTCAGCGATAGCACGGAACCCGAGGCGGAGGAGGAAGAGGACCCGGAAGAGGGCAGCTGGGCAGCCGGGGACGACCGTGTCGGCTACGTGAAAGCGGAGGACGGGTCCAGGGAGGGGAACAGCTCGACAGAGGCGAACGGTGCCGGTAACAACGACGAAGGCACGGAGTCGGGAAGCGGTGCGACCGGGGGCGAGCCGGGCTCCAGGAAATCAGGAGTAGAGATGAGACCGCAGAAGTTGCTTCAGAAACACTCGGTATTCCATGCTTCGTGGTTGCAAGAATTTCCATGGCTAAAATTTTGCCAGGAGACTGGAGTCATGTCTTGCTCTTGGTGTCACAACATTGCCACTAAAAACAGCGACGAGCTTGTGAAAGGCAGTCGCAACTACAAGAGGGCCTTGCTGCTGAGACATCACCTGTCTTCTGAGCACGGCAGGAATGACCCCACCAAACAGGTAACGTTAGCTCCATGACGACTTAGCGTGACAACAAATACCTGTCACACATTGTTCATAACATATGTCTTTAAAAAGTGTTGTTTGTCAGTATTTAGCGTCAGTTTCCACAACTTCTGAAACAAAACGAAGGCGAAAATACTTAAGCTTCACAATCCCTTCTCCCGGCTGATTAGCTAGCGTCAGCCTGCTAACCTGAGCTAACCACTAGCCTAGCTGGTTAGCCGCTTGAAGCTTCGCTGTGCAGCCGGTGGTAGAGGGGCAGACACTTTAGTGGAAAGCCCCTGGAGAAGTTAATGTCGACTACTAATGAATGGCGAAACACACAAACACATTTTTAGCGTGAGTGACACGGATGTCGGTGTCTGCCTACTCATCAGTCAAGTGACACGCACAAACCTGCTCCACTGACACCTGCTACACTGGAGGCTGTTTCCTTAGAATGGAGAATTAATAACAAGTCACACAACAACAACTTTAAGTCATTTCGAAATCACTAAATAGTCAGCAACAGCTAATGGAGAGTGTTGGTGGTATTATACGCTTATGTTTTTGTTGTACACACTGTACAACAAACTATTGTTTCATCAGCAGCTGCCTTGATTGCTAGCTTGCTAAAGGTCACAAAATGGCAAGGGTTCGACCCTAGCAGCCTTTGGGGAACCGCACCCCTACCCAACCCCCCTCCTCTCCGCCTCTCATCAAGCAGTTCTGCTGGCTCGCAGTCCCGGGTGACCTCTGGCGCATTTCTTCTTCCTCCTCCACCTCCTCCCTTTGGGGAGCTAAATTAGAGGCATTGTGCTAAAATGACCCCCCAAAATCCATAGATGGTGTCACTTGCAGGGCTGGACAAGAGCAGGAGAGTAAATCATGTAGCCTGGAGCCTGACAGCTTGCATGGCCCTTTATGAGTAGACTTGAATGGGTAAAATAGATGTCAGTAAATAGAATGACATCACCTGACCCTGTCATCCACATATTTGTGAATTAATGGGCATTAATGTTATACCTTTGGGGCATATCTTATGATTAAGACACCATCACATATGCACAAGACTTAAACTGTATTGTAAAAGTGGCCCTCTTTACTTAATTGGCATATAAAGACCACATGGTTAGCCTAAGCTTAAGGTAGGTATAAACTTAGTGACAGTATTTGTTTGCTTAGAATCAAAATCAACTGCACCATTTTGGTGAACTATGTCTTTATTGATGTGCATGACGTATTTTTATTGGTTAATTATTTGTATTGCTGTGTAGCCAACATTCTATGGTACTCCTTAAGAGACCTCATAAAAACTGGGATTGCATATTTGCCCGAACAATCTGGTGTCAAAGGGCATTTCTCCCATCAATCCTTATTCTGGAACGTATTATCACTTTCTGTTTCTTCTATATTTCCACATCCGATTGCCTATCCTGACATTGGTTTGAGCTGTCAGGGGAATTAAGAGTGGGCGCTGTTTGACTCTGATTTGTGAGCAGAGCGGATTGTACTACTACATTTAGTTCCTTGCTTTGCACACGCTATCACTAATCAGAATGACTTAAAGTGATCCACTAACTTGTACACATCTCTGATTGGTAAGGAGGCAGTAAGTGTGGATTAGGGGCTTGGTGTGGCGTTTCCCTAGCAACAAGGACCCCTGACACTGCACTGAGGTTATCCAGGTCATTTCCTCAAGTAGAATAGAGCTGGGACGATGCAGTCCCCAGGCCACATTATATGAGATAATTTCATTCTGATTTTTATTGAATTATATTTTAGGGTTCCTCAGATTAGATTTTTTTTTTCAATGACTGAGTAAAGCCATACTCGCTCTTATACAGTACTGTTGAAAATAATAGCAGCTGTGTATGTTTAGTAAGGTAGCATTGTGCGGCACTACATTAAAGAGGAATGATGGTGTTATAAGGCAACGTTTTGTTCTATTCACCCATTCCTGACGTTAGTCAGGCCTCTGCTGCATTCGTTAAACCTAACTCGATTACCCCTAGCACACCAGGGCAGCTGTAGTAAATGTGGGTCTCCTTGTAAAAGGGGGTGTTCTCGACACAGTCTTGTGCTCAGATTATTCCCTATGCTCACTGGTAAAAGGTTAAGACTGGCCAAAAGTAATGCATTTCCCCGTAAATCAAATATGAGATCACGGATCCGGGACCTTAAAGAGTTGCATTTATTCTCTAGTAACTGTTTTGTTCCTTTTGTTCAAAAATTGGTAAAAGGGTTTGTGTGTCTGTCTGTTAAACCCACATTGGTTGTTGCAGAGTAATCCCCTGTCGCCACCATCTACAGAGACAATAATCTACAATCATATTTTCTTGTGGAGTTCTCTCCACACACAGCCTTTCCATAAACCCTCTCTTTGTTTCTTACTCAACTATTGCTTTCTTGTCTCCCTTTATCATTCTTTGTGAGAATGTCAATAACAAATGAAATGTCCAATTCTAAGATGTTTGTTAACCGAACCCTTACAGTCAACCCAGACCAGGATGAGTCTCCTGAAGCCATGTCTGTTGATCAGCGTAGCCTCATTCAGTTTGACGGCCAAACAAATGCTTTACCTGCATCACTGTGTTGGTCTAAATGGGGTGTAAGATAAGTGTTGATCCCAGGGGGGAATTAAAAAATGTCTACACAAGTCATTACAACCTCTCATTTTAGTTGAGATAACACCAGACTCATTGTTAAGAGTGAGTCACCCCGAACGGGAAAGGGGACCCACCCTTTGCAGTCTTGAGTTCAACAGATAGATGGGATGTTTATTGGGGGCCACAGGTCAAGGAAAAGGGGTGTGGTTGAGCCAGAGGGAAAATTCTTCATGTTGAAACTGCCAGTGACTCTACCCTCCCCTCGTTTTCTTCCCCCCCCACCCCCCCCTATCTCTGCCTCTTCTGTCAGAGCATTGTTAGGAGGCCGAGAGACACTCAGTGCAGCCCTCCCACACCTTGGGCCGAACACACACTGCAGTATTGTTCTAGCATCTGAGGACAGACGGGTTTGGGTGAGGAGGGGTGGGTCGGGGGGTTAGGGAAGGATACAGTAAATGAGTTAGGGGAAAGACCGGCGGAGATGGCCTCAGGGCTGGGCTGGTCATGGGACTGGATTGATGGTGGTCGGGGGTAGACAAATGAGGGGATGGAGGCAAACATGTAAGGTAAACAAAAACTGGCTCCGGTGGTTCATTAAGTTGAGTGAGAGCAGTGCTGTATCACATGATCTGTAAATAGTCTGGCTGAGGCAAGCCCTTCAATAAGACTTTATGACCATCTTGATATGTTTAATCCACCTGTAAATCAGTTATTATCAGCAATTCACGGTAGATTTTTAAGCGTCCATGTATCTAGAATCTAGATCAAAGGCTTTTTCTTTCCCAGAGCCCTCTTGGATTCTTTTTGCACTCTCATTCTTCCACCGCTACCAATTCTGGCTCAAATAAAAACCTAGCCACGTCACAACGGGGGAGGTTGATATTGTCCCGACATTCTCTCTTGGCTCAGGCTGGTTTTGCCTCCAGCATCTGCTCTGCAGGGTCGGTCTGCTGGTTCTCTAAGCTCCCTGCTCACACGTGGCACATCTGGAGAAAGGATGATGATGATGATGATGATGCTGCTGCTGCTGATGAGGCCAGTATGGAGCAACTTATCCAGTACCAGGCTGTCCTAGCCTGACTCCAACACACACACACACAACTCCTATCAGAACTGCCAGGCAGAGTCTTACCTCTCTGGCCCAATGCCTTGCTATGTGTAATGGATAAAAGCTGTGGGGACTCTTGGGGTTTGGGGGTGGGATGGCCAGTAAGTCGGAAAGATAAAACACATCTGTAAATTCCAAGGTACTCTTGAGTCTGAGAAGCGCTTGTTTATTTATTGCATTTCTAACATATAGTCTCTTTTTCTTCTTCTATTCAACCCTCCCCATCTTCTAACTGTATTTGCCGGCTTGCTCAGCAAATTGAAAGCTCTTTTTGTTCTCATCAAATGAAAAAACAAAAGCACTGGACGAAAACGAAGCCGCAAAAACTAAATTCATTGTAGATTGGATGCTCATCCAACACCTCTTGTTGTGATAGCACTCCTGCCCTTCCCCACACCAATCTATTCCACCACAATACTCAGCATGATGACCATGCCTCTCCAGAGGCTTTGATGTGTATATCTTGGAATAATTATTCTCCTCTCTCCCCATCCTCTTCGCCTCACCCACACGCACTCTGGCTCCTTTCTATGCCTGCGAGTGGGAGCCGCTGTGTAATAAGAGTGAGTGCCGAAACCTTTCACAAAGGCCTACAGTGAGTGGACAATGAGCCTCGGGGAGAACACGGGCTATTGTGAAGGCTAAAATGGGGTGACCCAACTCCTTCTCTCTAGTGCACTGGTTTTCCGTCCCCCTCTGCTCCACATTTTCTCCTCCGCCCTTTTTTCTCGAGGCTCAAGGTCTCGCTCTCTCAATCTCTGCCTCATGCTCTCGCTCGCTTTTCGTTGTGCCTGCCATCAGGCTCTTTTCTTTTATGTTACGACCGTCACCATTTCTCATCTTCTTTTCACACTTATTTCTATCAACTCATTGCCAGAATTCTACAATTCTGCTCTCGTGTCCTTTAATTATTTGTCCTCTTCATTTCTTCTAGCCAGCAAAGTATGTCCACTTTCCCCCCTCCCAATCCCTCCCTCATTCTGCCTCTGATTTGAGTCCATCGTATCTCTTCATCTCTCCCCTCCAGCTGTGGCAGAGGATGATAAGCCCCCCTATACTATCCCGTGTGCCCAGGCTGCCCTGGACAAGCACTGCAGTGTGGAGGGAGTAGGGGTGGGGGTGGGGGCTGGGTGGGGACCTCAGAGAAATGGATTTAATCTGAATTACTCGAGCTGAAACCCCAGCTGTGTGTATGTGTAGGCAGCTTGGTTTCTGTGTAGTTGTGTGTGTGTGTGTGTGTACATGCATGTGTGCGCAGCAGAGACGGTGGTAGGCGGGGGCAAAAATGCAAGGCTCGAGCAATGTGAATTATTCTGGATTAGGACATCTGCTGTGCAATTCTAAAATGAGTCGTAGATGTATGCTGCTGCGTGTGTGTTAAAGTGTGAAACTATAATGTAGACTTCTACACATGGATGGTGTATATGGATTTTTGTTTGCATATATTTTGGCTGTTTATTATGTATGTGTGCATATGTACAAGTATGCATGTAAATACTCCCCTCTTCTCTGCTCCGTACCAGTCTGGCCCTTTGCCCTGCTATGAGGGGGGAGGGGGGCTGTTACAGGGCAGTTCTATGCTTCTGCCAGTTCCCATCCTGCAGCCACGTCGTGTCCTGCTTTACACACTGGGCGGCCATTCCTTCAGGACCAATAATGGCCTGTTTTACATCTAGCTTGCAAATTGAAGAGAACGATATAGAAAGTGTGTAAAGTCTTCTTACACATCTACTGGAGTTGATAAACAAAGCAGCGTTGAAGTATTCATTTACGATGACAAAATACATATCTAACTCCAGTGTTACTACAAATGGACGTTAAATGAATGCTTCTGAAACATTTATAATACTCTTCACTTTTGCTTTGAATGAAATGCAATTATTAAAAGTTGATTTTCAACTCTGTAAGAGGGGAATTCTAATGGAGTGATCTTCGAGATGTATGAACGGTGATGTCTCTTGCTTTTCACTTTGCTTGGTGGTGTCGTTTTTGTTTTGCCTTGGACTTCTAAACAAAAGCAGCAGCAACAGTGATATCTTGTTGAGGTATTTTTCTTAAAGCATAAATGGAATAAAATATTCCATCAACCAAAAACGATGTTGTCTTTTATGTTTTCACTGTTTTAAACATTTGATGTACTGAATATGTTCACCCTCCTATCTCAATATCCGTGCTCTCAGCCTAAGTTTTACTACTAAAGGAAAATAATTTTCCCTTTTACGTTAAATTACAGTCTTTATTATAATATTATCTGGCATTGCGTTATTGTTTTCGTTTGGACTTGATATTAAATAGCTTATAGGGCTAGGTAATACTACCCAGCCAAACGGCAACACACCTTTCATTGCCCCCCCCCGTAACAAGAGCCTGTCGAACCTGTTTCCCCCACTGGGCAGGTGCCACACCGCGAGCCCCGAGGGTGTGTGTCTGTTCCTGTTTATAGTACAGACAGAATTTCAGGAAGGGCAAATATGTTGTGCAAGTTTGTTTGTTTGTGCTTGCTTTTGCTCATTTGTGAGAACACATATTAAATGTGTTTTTTTCCTTCTCTTTCATGTTAATAGGAGACAATGAGGCCCTCGGACAACGGCAGCCCCTCCAATCACTGCTCAGAGGACGACTACCGCCTCAAGCCCAACGAGAACTCCTACTGTTACCAGCTGCTCCAGGAGCTGGACAAGCAACGCAAAAGTGGCATCCTCTGCGACGTAAACATAAACGTCTCGGGTCAGGTGTTCCGCGCACACAAGAACATCCTGGTTGCGGGCAGCCGCTACTTCAAAACCCTCTACTGTCTGACCAAGAGCGAGGCCCAGGACCAGGCCTCGACCACGCACCTGGATGTTGCTGCTGTGCAGGGCTTCTCCGTCATCCTCGACTTTCTCTACTCTGGGAATCTGCTGCTCACAAGCCAAAATGCCATTGAGGTGATGTCTGTCGCCAGTTACCTCCAGATGACAGAGGTCGTACATTCATGTAGGGCTTTTATAAAGGATGCCCTGAATATCAGCATCAAGCAGGAGGCTCCTGATTCAGTGGTGGTGGACTACAACAAGAGGCAGACGGTGTCCAAAGACGGACAGAGAAGCCTGGACCGCAAGCCAAGCAACTTCTGGGCCACAAGCATCCTGTCAAAGCTGTCGATCAAGGCCAGCAACAATCAAGGAAAGGAATCGACGGAAGACGAAGACACAGGTGGCAGGGTAAAGGAGGAGTCCAGTGACATAGAGGTGACCGTGGTTGGGAGTGAGGGCTGTGCCCTGGTGACCCCCGGAGCCTCTGGTAACTGGAGCCACCACAACGACAACTCGTCTGATTCAGGAGAGACCAATGACCCACGGTCAGCCAGAGGACAGGTCTTCATCTGGAACGAGCCGGTCACAGGTGGCGCTGCAGGAGCCTCCGCGTCAATCAAACGAGAAGCCCCGGATTCAGCGGCAGGAAGCGGGCGGAGGAAAAAACAGACCACCACACGCCGTTTTGTGTACAACTTTCCTCCGGAGCCTGAAGAGGGATTTGAAGAGGGGATGTTCCTCCAGCCCTCTGCCTCCTTCCCGAGGGAGGACTTCTCCTCCCTCTCCGAGAATGCCGGTATGAGACACATTTGTAGCTCTAAACACACTTCATATCCTCACAGCGGCCAGTCCTTACCCCTATGATATATAAATAGATTTCACCGTGACCTCATGAATTTGTTAATGCTATCAGTCACACTGTATACTCACTGTAGGTCAAAGGAACGAGCTCCCTTTATAAGGTAGGGAGGTGCATGCAGAATGTGACATATTATCGTTTGTAGGGCTAAGTACTTCAAAGATAGATAAATAATGCTGACCTGAAAAACATCATTTGAATGCTTCACTTTCTCTTTTAGTTGCACGTCTATTCATTGTGTTTGGACATTGTTTAGAGAATCTACGATACTGCAAATACATTTATGACAATGGCTTGGGGAACACTAAACAAATAAAACAAAGTTGTGAGGGACAGATTATATAAATACTCAGCTAAAAACTTGGAATCAACCAACATAAGCTAGTTGGAAAATGTAACCGGTTGGGTCAGCTAGCATCACTAACTAGCTTGATGCTTCTGCCTCCCCCCTCCCCCCCCCCACCACCAGTTTAACCTCTAAACACTAAGATTACTGTGACATTCAGTTTCTCCTTGTCCTAACATTCACTTGAAGCTAAATGATGCTCACATAAACTATCTGGTTGAATTCTGTATTTAAAATCGAATTCGGTAGGTTTTGAAAAATTCCTGCGATTTAATGATTAACCTACAGCGGGGGGGGGTCAGTAGGGCTGAAGAGGATAACCCTGAAGTTTATGGCTTTAGTATTTGATCCTCTTTTTGCAAGCCTGGAGAATGTAGTATAATGATGCTCTTAAAGATCACACCTTTGTATGACTTTGAATATGAAAGATCGCCAGTAAGGGTCGTATGTGATCGTGTCACTCATGTTGATCGACTTCGTGCTAAAAGCTAATCTGTGGCCACCCGTCGGTAACACAGGCATGATCACTAGTATAGATTTTCACCCTTCCATCCATTCCCTGCTGTGACCCCTAACAGGGTAGTTGCTTATCTAGCTTTGAACCTGCTGTGCAGAGCCAAGACTTGAGTAACTCCCCCCATGATCCTTTAATCACCCCAGAGCAGGGGGCTTAGCAACGTGACGCCCACCTGGAGTGCTTTGTCTCAGGTGTGTTGCCACATTGCTGCTGAGACTAGTTTTGATGAAAAGAAGGCAGATTTGATAAGATGAAGTGCAATGCAATGATGTTGAAGCTGTTATGGTTCAGATGGCTAATGTTTATCTATAAAATCACAAAAAGTAGTTATTTAACGGGATTAGGGGATGGGACTATCCTCAAAATACCACCTTATATGATGTGGTTGGCAATAATATTAAACCCAATATCTTTCTTGATGAAACTTTTGCACCCGTTGATCTTCTCCCTTTCTGTTGACCTTTTGATACCTTGTTTTTTTTACCTTAATCTATGCATCCCTATCCACATGCAGTGTAGCGCTCTTATCTTACAGTAATCTCTTCTCATAGCCGCTGCCTTCTCCTTCTGTTGGCCCCATTAAGCATGGCGCTCCATAATGATATCACATATTAAGTGAAGTGGTAGGGATCGGGGGGAGGGGAGGTGATGTGTGAGGAGCAGGGTGTGTGTAGAAAGTGTGAGAGATGTACATTTTGTATGAGAGAAATAGAGAGACTCCCTAATGCAGGGAAATGAAGAAGCCTCCCTAAATGCACTTGAAGGCTGTTAGTGCCTCCAACTCCTCCTATGGTTCTTTAATGTGTGCACAGAGTGATCCAGGGTGTTGCAATAGCCTAAAGAGACGCTCACTTAAAGTTTGTCTGCATGTGTGCTAACTCTCGTACCTTCTCCTCCTCCTCATGTGTCTTTGCTGTTTAGCTCCGCGTCTCTCCTTAATGTATACTATGTTTCCAAATAAAGATATGGTTAGGACTTCAAGTAGGCTGTTAGTCACAGTAAAAGGTTTCAAGGAAACTGTTTACCCTTAAATGATAGTTTTGTGCTCAGCAGACCATTTATTCATACAGTATACTCTATGTTAAGAGTTTAAAAATAGATCTGCGCATATTTAGTCTCTATAAGGGCTTAAAATCAAGGGTTTGATGCAGAAACACATTCAGTGTCAGACTGACAGGAGGCCCTTTTGGACCTTATCAAAAAAGTGCATTATTTCAGGGCCCTCTACTACTATCTATTGTGAATGGAGCTTTTCGGTTCCCCTTTTTAAAAGCAATGTTCACAAAAGGCTTTGCAAAGTGTTGCTAGTTTTGTTTCAGTTTCTCTTTCCATTTTTTGTCCACATTTTTGACTGACTGGCTTTTTGAAAGAATTCTTTAACACTTTTACTCTCGATTAGTTAAGACCAGGTGAGATGGAGGGAGCTATCGGAACAAATGTGTAATATGCCGACCTATTACATTTATTTGTTATCTAACTTTTTAGAGTCATAACAAGTATTTAGTCAAGCTTTTAAGTTGACAGTTTTAAATGTATTGTTAAGTGTCCATGTGTGATGTGAAAGCTGCTTATTAACTAATTTATTTTGTATGAATGTTTTAATAATCAGCCCTGCCCTCAGGTTCTAGGACATATGGTTTTGTAGGAATGAGAGGGATCCAGTTATGTGAGTGTGTGTGTGTGTGTGTGTGTGTGAAGAATATTCTACGTTTGGTAGTATTTCTGGGTAGAAAAGCTGCTGTGTCATGGAGTAAACTGTGTGTAGCGTCAGGGCACCCAGCTATAGTAATGCAATGTTTTACATCTCCTGGAACGCACACGATGAGTACGCTTTATGGAGACAAATTAATTAGCTAAATCTTTCATTTTGTTCCCACAGCCTCTCTGCTGCCTAGGCTTGATTAGTCTTGTGTTTTGCACAGTGCTCATTTGATGTGACTCGCTCTAGATATCTGTGTCACATGATATCTAAAATATTAGTTACGCTTTACTGAAATATTGCTTTACAAAGCAAAAATGAGTACGTGTCCAACGGTTAGCCTTATCTGCTGTGGGTTATTAGATTATTCCATAAAGCAATGATGCAGAAGCGACTCGAAGGGTTTACTGTTGTGCGTGCGGACATGATTAAATACCAAAACATCCTCTTCTGGTTGTGAGATGCTCGATCTAAAACTAGACAGCCCTCTTGTGCGTTTAGTCTTGGCTGGCTTGCATATTTTTGACGAGCCTATGAGCAGTCATCCACCAACATTAGCTGTCCCAGTTTGCCTCAGTGATGTAACCCATTTGGGTTTCATTTAGCCTCAGTTTGATCTGTGTGGTCATGCGCCAAGAATGGAAACGCAGTCGCCCAAATGGTGGTAATCTCTCTGCTGGTGCGTATCTTCCCTTTAAATAATTTGTGCTTTTTAATTTCTCGTTTATAAGGTGGCGGTTTCTTAATTGGATATAGTCTTGGCAAATGGCACAAAAAAATCTCTTGAGTCCGAGTAGTATGTTGTTGTTTCTACATTCAACTGCTGTCCTAAACCAAAACATGTTCAGTTTATAACTGAAACATTTGGGAGAAAAAGCACAGAATCATCTTGTTTAAGAGACTTTAACCATGAATAGCTTTTTGCAGGGAAAACGTCTGAAACCATTGGAGGTAGATCGTTTACAGATTGACATGAAAGCTAGTGTTGTGTGGAAAATAGCAGCTGAAAGTGAAGGATACAAGTACTTTGCCATCGCTGTCTGCTCTTGCATCGCTGAGCCTCGCAGCTCATGGCCAATACATTCCTGGGTCTTCTCCAACCAACACTGTTGGATTGTTGTAAAGGGTGCGTGCGGCACACAGAGCAGGTGAAATGCATTTGCATACACACTAGTCGCTGTTGAAGCATGCACACAAATGCACAATAACTTACCAAATCCCTACGAGGTGCAAAGCTAACAGGGGCACTCCCCACCCTCCCTAATCCACTCTAATGCACTGGGACTGTCCTCACTATTCCAAATATTGACCTGGGTAGAATGGACACACACACACACTGACACACACAGGGGCGTGTCTTTAATGGGCTCTAAGCGCTGGAGGAACAGGACACACACAGGTGCTCTCACACAAGTGCTTTCAAAAGCTGGGTGTAAGCTGAGCTGGTGTGAGGGCCAGACTCTCATTAACCCCCTCCCCGCTGGAGCCCTGGTTACACCATCAGTTTGTTCTCTGGCCAGGGGAGCACACTGTTCTACATATAGTAGGGACCTGTGTGTTTGTGTGTGTGCTGACTTGAAACTTCCTTTGTTTCACGTGGGGGGTTTGGTTAGTTGTGTACACAAGGCGTTGTGAGGTGTGCAACCCCCCCCATCCAGGCTCTCACCCACCTCTCCTCTCTTTCTCCCTCTCGCTTCTCTTGTCCCCCCCCTCCCCCTTTCCCAGAGCTGGCCAATCAGATCCAGTATAGCATCATCCAGGACTTACAGCAAGGGGAGTCCTGGGAGAATGGTAAGACGCCGCACTCGCTAGACTACCACTAAAAAAAACTAAACTAAAAAAACAGTTTCAACGCAACTTGAAATGTTTAACTTAAATGCATCTTCCTAATTGAGTGTGGGCAGTCGAGTCAATAGTTATTTCTATTTAATTGTCAAAATGACATGCTCATATCAGTGTCTTTACAAACTGTTCAGGTATGAATGAAGTCAATTGTATTCATTTAGGTCAGAAAATAGGAATTAGTTTCAAAGTGGTGGTGGAGTAGCCGGCCGTTGTCTAAAGTACACAAAGCTCTGCAGCCTAATGCCATACATCGCACTGATAATAAGTATGTATGCAGTGTGTTAAGATTGCAGTGTCGAAAAGTTAATGTATGCTTTCAAAAAAACGACACCAGTGCTGTTGGACATTTGCTTCCCACAATGCATAGGGAATGAAAGAGAAATTATTATTAATTGTGGTAGAAGAGTATCCGGGTGATTAGCCGCTTTCACAGCAAGTACTTAGCCGGTACTTGTTCCCCTCGAACTCTTTAGTCCCTCCAACTGTCCTAGTAGATCGCGTTCTCACCGGAATAAGTCCCTGACGGAGGATTAGACTAATGAAGCCGCTGACGTCACTTCTTCTTCTTCTGCTTTGGGTTCACAAAACTTTTCGGAGTTTTACGGGGCGTGGTTTGCAATTCGCCCAGCCAATCAGAAATTGTTAGTGTGGCCGACACACCCACGAACCTTTTCCTCCTCAGGAACGTACTACCTCTCTAGCAGGGACTATCTGGGGGTGAAAAGGGTGGCGCGAACTAGGGACTAGTTCCAGATCCTTTTTGGTGTGAAACCAAATCCCCCCCCCCCCCTCCTATTGGCCTAGTTCGGGGGGGAAAAGTACTCTGGTGCCAAAGCGCCTATTGGCCTTAAAGTAAAAAGGAAAATACACTTAAGAAAATGATATTGTATTCTTAACCTCTAAAGGTTAAAAGTAAGTCGAGGCATTTTTATTTATACATTTCACATTGGGGCAACAAGATATTTATAAAAAATGATATTGAAAAACAACTAAAACGGACATTAAAAACGCAAGAGATTAGAATATAAAAACAAGCTTAAAAAAATATCTAAAACTCCTAAAATGAAGCCACAGTGCAATTACTAATTATTGTTATTATGAAATATAATTCTATCCAGAACACATACACGGAAAATACTCAGGTGACCTGCTTCTCATCAACCTTCCTCTGCCTTCCGCTCCCTAGCAACCTGCCCTGACAACGCCTCTGTTGTGTTCACCCTGGCTCAAACAAAAGCCCCCCCCCCTTTTTCAACACTGAAGCATTACCACTCTGTTAGGAGGCTCTTCAGAATCAATAGGTTGCTTATTTATTTGTCAGCCCAGCTGTCCTCAGGAGTTTGTTTAGCATAAACATCTGTGTTTGTGTGAGGACAAATTGATGTCTCATTTAGACATGAAAAAAACAAACATGTGATACCTTGTTTCTCTCGTCTTTAAATCTTATTGAAGCCGATCTTCATGGTTGATGAATAAAAGTGTTGTATTTGATTGGGTTTGATGTTACTGAACATCCAGAATGCACTAGATGATCAGCATTATGGATAATGTAAAAAAGCTGATAATTGATATATTCTTAATATAATGAGGCAATACGTTATTAGTTGAACCTCTTTTTAAAAACGGTTACAGTTGCCATCACAACCACTGGTTTGGTAATGATGAATTCTTTAATATCTTCTACCAAACGACATTATTACGTCCATGTAGAACAACAACAGACCTGCTTTACATTCACTGCTAATACATGTCTGCATCCTTTGTAACACTGCCTTCATGAGACCTCCAGCATCCTTACGTACAGTTACTTAGCAACAGTGACAGAGCTGTGCAGTATTCTGTTTAATCTACAGTTGAGCAAACTTTTGCTAAAGAGGCTTTTTGTGATACATCCCTTTGTGGTGTCCTATTCTCCGTAATGGTTACCGCATCTTAACTCTGTGATTTGATAAACAGGATATTGGTTCCTGACACACCCCTCCCTCATTAGAAGATCTATAGATGCAGATGTAGCTTTTATGATGATTGTCTTCTTCCATCTCCGGTTTGTTCTTCCAATGCTATCAATCTAACTGAAAGAGAAAACAATGGTTGAGTTTCTTATATATTTTTTTATTTAGTAAAGCAACACGTGTCAGTTGAGAGAAGACATGGTGGTCTCAATACATATGGTGACCAAGCAGTCTATTGTGTAGGAGTAAAATGGGGTATTGTTTTTTTAAGAGGAGAAAAAGTACTTCTCAGTGGGTGTGGCAATTGAACCGTTTTTGTCTTTATAAGCATGTTTTCTTTTGATTGTCCGTTTTTAAGATGTACACAAAATCAAAAATCCTTAGACATGAAGTCTCTAAATCACTTTGTCTGAATATTTTTGCTTCTCTCTCTCTTCGCAGGCGAGTCCTCACACCTAGCCCTCAATAAGCTCAAGTGCCCCCACTGTAACTACATCGCCAAGCACCGGCGCACGCTGAAGAGACACCTGATCATCCACTCGGGCGTGCGCTCCTTCAGCTGTGACATCTGCGGCAAGCTGTTCACCCGCCGCGAGCACGTCAAGAGACATTCCCTGGTGAGTCCACATATGCAACGGACCCTCTCTTTTACACCGCCGTGTGAGGCGCAGCCACCATCTTCTGCCAAACGCTACAGAGCTTAGGCCACCCTCGCATCTTTGCACCCCGCCTCATGTTTTGTGTCAGGCAGCTCTTCGCTCCAGGGAGTGAGAAGTTGAATGCAATGATACTGGTTTTCTAACATATGGAGTATCTTAGAGTCACCAAATGTCTAACAACAAATGGATGTGAGACCTACAGTATGTCTAAGATATGACATTACGTGTTTCTAAATCAGGAGGTAAAACCAGTTATATGACAGGCAGCAGTTTTCTGCATCACATTCTCTATGTAGAAAAATATCAACCTTGCAACCGTCATCATGCTCCACATTTCTTATTTGGAAAAACATGTTTTCCCAAAAAAGTGTCCTTCAATTAAAAATCATCTACACAATCACTTATGTAAACAACAAATATTTTAGTATTTGACGATGACAATAAAAAGAGTATTAAAATGACAATAAAAGGAGTATTCAAATATATATATATATTAGTGTTTTAAATGGAACCTTCCCTTTGTCGTATTTGTTTGTCTAACACTAGAGGCGGAGTGGAGGAAATGAAACATTAAATAATTATGATCCAGAAATACTAGCAATGTTATATGAACAGATCAGGGTTTCCGCTAGGATTTTTTCTCGCCGGTCAAATGTCTGGACAGAATTAATTTTACCGGACAAATTTGAAACTTACAGGTCATGTTTCAATAATAATAAGAATTGTGTAGCAGAGTTTCCGTTAGCAGGTAATTACCGGACTGTGACCGGATATGCTGATGTTTAAACTCAGTTAATGGCTCATTTTTATATTGCTTCAGTTTATAATCGTAACAGATCGAAAAGATTCATTTTTCAATAAATGATTCCACAAACAACATAATTATTACATTCAAAGAAACTCCTTGTAGTAGATGAAGTACATTATTCAAAAGTTTACATTAACTTTGAATAATAACACAGGAGAAACGGATCCTCTCTCTCCCTCTCTCTCTCTCTCTCTCTCCTGACAGCCCGTCAGTTTCTCAAACAGTGGGCGGGGCTTCAGGTGATTATGCAGCAGCTGATCTGATCTCTCTCGCGTGTCCGGTTATACTTCACTCGCGTTTATGTCCATATCGATCAGATCCAGATCTCCTGATCGGCCTTTATAGAGAGCACCGATCAAATTATTAAGAGTGAATATCGGCCGATAATGACGGGCGGCTGATCGATCGGAGCACCCCTAATTACTACCGGACATTTTGACCGGCAGGTTTTGAAATTTACCGGTTTTTAATAAATTTGACCTGCTAAAAACCGGTAATTACCGGCTAACGGAAACCCTGGAACAGATATGTAAATACCAAATAATTGTTGTGGTTAAAAAGGAATTCTGTGGACTTTTCGCATATCTTTTTAAGTACCTTCTTTTTTTAAAGTGATAAAAAGTAAAAATGCTCACATCCTTTCCCCAACCCTCTCTGTCCCGCCCCCTTCTCTCCTACAGGTGCACAAGAAGGACAAAAAGTACAAGTGCATGGTGTGTAAGAAGATCTTCATGCTGGCGGCGAGCGTCGGGATCCGTCACGGCTCGCGGCGCTACGGTGTCTGTGCCGACTGCGCCGACTCGCACCAGGCCACGCAGGAGGGCATGGAGTTCCCCCGTGATGAAGACTTCGAGGGCGAGGAAGGAGAGGACCTGGATGGGGAGGAGCCCACCGACAACGACCAATCAAATTGGGGTGAGGGCAACGCTGGCACTGCCCCGGAAGAGGACTAAGAATTTAAACATGCTTGAGAAACAAAACTAAAAATAAGTTGATGTTTATAATATATATGTAAACTAGCTGGTAAACAATCAACTCCAAAGTGCTATCAAACCTTGAGGTTACTTAATTGTGCAACGACAAAAAGATGGATTTAAAAAAAAAATGAAAAGCTTTCGTAGAGTGGGAACTCCAAGATGTACAGATTTTATTAGTTAAATTGTGTCCAACTCTGGGCCGAGAGCCCACAGGAGAAAGATTCTATCGACGAATAATATGATAAATCAGGTTTTTGGTGATGTATTTCTATTTCCTGTTTTGGGTTGGGGAGACTTGGGCAGGGTAATGATGTAGTTTTGAGATGGGGTAGGCCAATCATTTAAAAAAGCGAAATGTTAATTATTATTTAATTTATGAAGAGAGGTTATTATGGTCTTATCAATAATTTTTTATTTCTGTTTTTGTCTGCGAGCAGAGAGAGTGGCTGTGGCTCTCTGCACAATCTGAAAGTATATCGCTCGGTGCTTGTAGACAGAAGAAGAGCATTATTGTCCACAGGAAGATGTTTAACTTGCTCTGTAGATCTTGTTTAGATGCGCTAAATATTATTATATTCTTTAAATTTTTTATTTTCTTTCCCTGCAAAAATCTTGGAACCAAAAAATCTGTTTTGTGACTCTAATGTATTACAGCCATATTTATAATTTAATTTAAGAGTGCTGTGGTATTGTGCCAAACAGACCGCACACCAAGATTTAGCAGGACGCAAAAACTACTGAATACGCTTAAGAAAAAGAAAAGACAACGTGAGGTTGGGGGGCGGGGGGAAAGATGAAAGAAAAGTACAAGGGGAAATGTTATTGCTAGCTTTATACAAATCCACGGGCGTCACAGTAACACTTTATTATTAAACAAAAGCATTTGACTTTCACTTAAAGCTTGAATTTTGCCAAATGACGAAACGTTTGGTGCTGTAATGCTTGTCGCAGAATACTGGACCTACTGGCTATATATGATGTTTCTAATCATAAAGCTTAAACTGACTCAGTTATACATATATGTAATCAGCTTAATCTATAGAACACTGTTGTGCTACGGCGACTATCAGGTATGCTTTGCCATGTTTTTAAGCTTTTTATTTAATGCACACACAAAGAGACACACACACATACCATTTTATAGAACTACCGGCAGTACTTGTAATCGAGGACCTAATCAACATCAATACCTGTATACGTTTGTTTATATTTGGTACTGAGTTATAAAGTAAATACAGTTTATATATATATATATATATATTTTGAAATCACTTGAACGTTGGTTGTGAGGGGAACGAAGTGTGTAGAAAATCATGTGTGATGTCTGAAAGAACTCCATTTTCCATGTGTTAAAAGTATACAAAAATGTCGTGGGTTTAATTTGATGTAGTTTGTTTATTTCTTTAGGTCTGCCAGGTAGAAAAACACTTTGTTCCACAAAAAGTGAAGCTCTATGGCGCCTCATAGACATGCACTTATTTTGTGTTCCTGAATATCATTTTCTTTTTATGCTTCTTCGCTTCCCAAAAAGCGGGTCTGAATGGAACTTTATAAACTGTTGTGTCTTCTTCCAATGCGCAACGTTTTTTTTATTAGATATTTTTGTTTTGTTATTTAATATTATATATACATTGACTCCAAAATGCAATCAAGACTGTTAATTTCTATTTGTCCAACCAAAATTGTTTTTAATTATTGTTGAACTATAATGTATGAGAGAAGCCAGGTGGAAACTTGCTTAGTGTAGAAAATCCTTGCTCGTGTCTGTAATTGTTGAGATTTTTAAATGTTATGCTACAGAATCATTCACTTTACCCTAGATGCAGATTTTGTTTTCCACAGATGTTTCCTTTCCTTCTTTTGTTGTTTCATTAAGCACATATTTTCTAAAGAAACACGGATTGTTTGCGGGTTAAAACCTTGGATCAGCAGTTATCTGTTCATATGCAGTGGATTTTACAACATGTACTGAAGTGCTAATGATACAGAAGATGTGTAACTTCCCTTTACTCAGTGCAAGAAGATATATTTTAAGTCCTAGAGATATTCATCCTCTTCGTGTCACATTTACCTTCAAATCACTGTGGGAGGAGTTATATTGCGGATATATATATATATATCTATGTGGAGATTATATGAGATAAATATATATATAT